TAATGCCCAGTGACTCTGGTTCAGCAGGCCTAGGAGGAATGCATTTTAAGAACTTATCTGGTTATTCTAATCTGTGGTCAGATTGGAAACTGCCCCATAGGAGAGCTCTTCCTCGGCATGCAAGAATAGAGCCAGAATCAGGCTCTATTTAGCCCCAACCCTGATCTTCCAGGGAGACTAGAGCAACCTTTTGGGGAATGGCAGACCCTGGGAGAACCTGTTGAAAGCTATGGACCGAGTCTTCCCTGGAAAAATGCAAATTATATTTTCCTCCCTGAATCCATACTTGAACCCAGATTAAGAACTCCTCATACAGGCCGGGCACGGTGGCTCACGCCTGTAATCCCAGCACTTTCGGAGGCCGAGGCGGGTGGATCACGAGGTCAAGAGATCGAGACCATCCTGGTCAACATGGTGAAACCCCGTCTCTACTAAAAATACAAAAAATCAGCCGGGCATGGTGGTGCGTGCCTGTAATCCCAGCTACTCAGGAGGCTGAGGCAGGAGAATTGCCTGAACCCAGGAGGCGGAGGTTGCGGTGAGCCGCTATCACGCCATTGCACTCCAGCCTGGGTAACAAGAGCGAAACTCTGTCTCAAAAAAAAAAAAAGAACTCCTCATACAGCTATTCCCAGGGGTTGATCCCAGTAATTCCTGTCCCCAGCCTTCTCTAGGAGGTCATTGAGGCATCACAGAAGAAAGAACCAATGGTGTCTGTGTATTGGGCCTTAAAGATTATGGGGTGAATTCTGCTCCTTTCCTTTCGTCTTCTGTTGTGGTAGGCTTGTGGGTGAGCCAGGTGGGTTTGGCTGTTGCCACTGCTCATGTCCTCAACTCATGCAGAGAGCAGAGGGCCCAGTGCATCTGGAGCATGAATGAAGCTGGGGAGAGTGGGCTGAGGAATGGATCAGGAGTTTGACTTGCCTTCAGAGGCAGAGACATAACTGGCACCCACTTTGTCCTCCCCGCACGCTGCAGGAGGGAGAAAGGGCAAGGCTGCAGGGCCACGAGCTGGGGTGACAGCCAGAGGCCAAAGTCCAGGGCTGGGCAGGCCCCCTAGCCAGAAGTCCTGGGCTTAGTACAGAAACATGATTTTTATAGACCCAAATGCAAATTGAAGTAGGGAAGGAGGAAGGGAGCAAGTGCGCCTGTGTGTGTATATGTATGTCTGTGTATGCATGTGTGTCTGTGTGTGCATGTGTGTCTGTGTGTGTATGTATGCATGTGTGTCTGTGTGCATTTGTGCCTTTGTGTATGTCTGTACATGTGTGTCTGTGTGTATATGTCTGTATGCATTTCTGTGTGCATGTGTGTCTGTGTGTATGTCTGTGTATGCATGTGTGTCTGTGTGTATATGTGTATCCATGTGTGTCTACGTGTGCATGTGTGCCTATGTGTGTCTGTGTATGCATGTGTGTCTGCGTGTGTATGTGTGCCTGTGTGTGTATGTCTGTGTATCCATGTGTGTCTGCGTGTGCATGTGTGCCTGTGTGTATATGTCTGTGTATGCATATGTGTGTGTGTATGTTTGCCTGTGTGTGTATGTCTGTTTGCATGTGTGTCTGTGCATGTGTGCCTGTGTGTATGTATGTCTGTGTATGCATGAGTGTCTGCGTGTGCATGTGTGTCTGTGTGGGAGGTGGTGTTTGGGGAGAGCCACTGTCAGGCCAGTGTCCCAAGAAGAGCCTGTTGAACTCGGAGGCTGTCGGTGATGGTCTGAGTCATGGTGATGTGGCATAGGAAAGCCAGCCACAGGATGGCTTTACAGCTCCCAGGCTGTGATTTGTGTCCCTGGGAGGTGAGGGTCAGCCTGTTTTCCCCATGCCCTTCACAAGTTCAGCTGCCATCTGCTGGGTCAGCTTCTCAACAGCCTCCTTGTTACTGTCTGCCTGCCAGGCTGTGGGATGAGTCATTGGGGAACTGCAAAGGAGGCTCTGAGTGTGGCTGCCTCAGCCTCAGCTTCCACTTCTCTGGGAAGAGGGAAGCCTGGTGTGCTCACGGAGAGGGGATCAGGGCCCTGGGCAGCTGCCCACCTAACACCAAGATGAAAGGACAATATGGGACTCGGCATGCCTCGCAGCCCCTCTGGAGCTCTAGCTCAGGAAGACCTATCCAGAAGCCTCAGTTAGGCCATGCCAGGTAGAGACAGGTTATCAGAGCCCCCGCACAGCTGGATCTCCAGCAGCCACATGCCCTCAGAGCAGCGACTGCACCATCTGGCCTCATTTTTCTCATTCATCAGGCAGGGCGCTCTCTTCATCCTCAGCACTCAGGATTGTCTTGTCTCCAAAGGTTATGGAAAAGCACTCTTTGTCCTTCGAGTCCTGCATTCAGCCAGTGTCAGCTGCCTGGTCTGTGCCCCATGTGCTATGCGTTGTGGAGCCATGGTGTTCAGAGCCCCTCCACTGCCCTCAGGAGCCTGTTGACCAGGGAGGACCTTAGTGTCCCCTCCTGCATTTGCCTGTAACCCAGGAGCTTGGGGAGTGGGCAGCATAGCCTAAAGAACCTGGGGTCTGGGTTCGGGGTCCTGGCCATACCCCGTCACACCCAGGCTGCATGACCTTGGGCAAGTCTCCACTGAAATAGGCCTCAGCCCCTTCAAATAGAAAGGAGGAGGTCAAAGTCACGTCGAGCTCCCTGTGAGCATTCCCTACTGCTATTAGGTTTGGAGACTTTTTGGTCTGTTGTTAAGATCTCATTTCCCCTGGTAAAGAGGCTGAGAAAAGTAGGATCAACTCTGGGCTTAGGTCAGTTTCTTTTTTGGAGGTGGAGTGCATTGGGGAGATGTGTGGTCGGATGAAAGTACAGTTACAGGCCGGGCACAGTGGCTTAGCCTGTAATCCCAGCATTTTGGGAGGCCAAGGTGGGTGGATCACCTGAGATCGGGAGTTCAAGACCAGCCTGACCAACATGGAGAAACTCCATCTCTACTAAAAATACAAAAATTAGCTGGGCATGGTGGCACATGCCTATAATCCCAGCTACTTGGGAGGCTGAGGCAGGAGAATCACCTGGGAGGCAGAAGTTAGAGTGAGCCAAGATCTCGTACCATTGCACTCCAGCCTGGGAAACAAGAGCAGAACTCCATCTCAAAAAAAAAAGAAAGAAAAGAAAGTATAGTTACAAGAAACATAGCCAGCCTTGAAGGACTTTTGCCTAATTGGATGTTAGAACACCCTTTAGACTTTTATTTTCCTTTAGAGACAGAATCTTGTTGTCACTCAGGCTGGAGAATGCAGTGGTGCAGTCTCAACTCACTGCAGCCTTCACCTCCTGGGTTCAAGCATTCCTCCCACCGAAGCTTCCGGAGTAGCTGGGACTACAGCCACGTGCTACCACCCCGGCTAATTTTTTTGTATTTTTGTAGAGGTGGGCTTCCACCATGTTGCCCAGGCTGATCTTGAACTCATGGGCTCAAGTGATCCTCCTGCCTCAGCTTCCAAAAGTGCTGGGATTACAGGCATGGGCCACTATGCACAGCCGCTGCCTCAGACTTCTTAAGGTCATCAGCTAACAGTGAGGCCACTCATTCGACCTCCTCAGCATCTGGCCTTTGGAACCAAATCCAGGCGTCCTTGCAAAAAGCTAGAGCTACTCTGAGTTCAGAGCCAGGAGATCCTTGAAGACGGAGATGCAAGGACTAATCAATAGTGAACAACAAACCCCACTGCAGCCCCAGTCAAGCTGGCAGAGCCTTTCGTAGCCATTGAGGTAGGAAGACCAGTGAGGCAGATTCAGAAGGAAGAGGGCTTCAGCCTAGTGCCTCAGCTTCCCACCATCTCACTCAGTCCTCAGGCCTCACAGGGGAAAAGGCCAGAGGCCTTGGAGTTCAGCTTCAAGTGGTATGCCTTTCTGCCCCAGAAGCAGAAAGTGATCCAGGGTTCACAGTTACTGCAGGGAAGATGACCTCTGTTAGTAGCAGCTTGAAAACAAACCTACCATCAGAGACCAATTATTAAAAATCTGTCTGCATTTGGGACCTTCTCAGGCTGTGTCTAAAGCAATCACGCCTGAGAGGGGCCCTACCCTTTAAAAACTCCCAGTCTTTAAACAGGTTTCCAAGTGGTAACATCTCAAATCAGTGCTGCTCTCTTTTTTGCCAGTTCCAGTCTGCAGGCTGTTTGCACAGATTGTCGGCAACTCTGGGCTGCTCTTCTTTGCAGCTTCCTGGGGCTGGGCAAGACAGAACCCAGAGAGAAGTGAATTCTTGTGCTTTGTTCTTTATTTCTAGAGGTATAGGTTGGTGTTAGGACCTTTCATATAAATTCTACTCCTGATGTTGCCTGAATGAAAAATGATACCTAGAAGTTTTCAGCCAATGAGTTTGAAGTTAGAGGAGGAAGCATGTTAGTTCCTTCTGGAGAGCCACAGACAGATGCATTGGGCAAGGAACCACGTGCTGAGCACCATTTGCATGCTGAGTTTTAGACTTTGTAGGTCACATGCGCGCGCGCACACACACACACACACACACACACATATCTTCCTCCTACTAAGAAATGGAATTTAACCTTGATTCCCTCCACTTGGAGAAAAGTCGCTGTGGATGGTGTGAGTCAACATGTCCTCTCCAAAGGCAGGGCCTCTGTGGAGTCAGTGAGGCCATGGCTTTGGAGTCTGGGACTCACCACCCTGTCCTGGGGACGCAAAGTTGCCCTGAAACAAACAACAGAAAAAGATTCAGCCACTATAAAGGCAGGAAAAAACCAACCCAGACATTTGCACCACACTATCCTAGACGAAGTGGGCTGGCATCCTTGCTGGACACAGTGGAGGAGGCGATTTATGTGGTGGTGCTGGGAGGACCAGGGGCCTGTGCTATGTGGAACATGTGTAGCTGTTGAGAGGTTGACTGTGTTACCCTTGAGGATGTTTGGAGGATGAGTATGTGTGGCATAAAGAGGCAGAGACCCTTTGCCCCTGCCTTTCTCCCCCAACCCACGGCTGGCCTGTATTCCCCCAGGTCTGGGATTCTAAGTGACCTGTTCTGTCTCTCTCAGGGTGAGCATGAGCCTGGGAGATGGCAGTGATGGAAATGGCCTGCCCAGGCGCCCCTGGCTCAGCAGTGGGGCAGCAGAAGGAACTCCCCAAAGCCAAAGAGAAGACGCTGCCACTGGAGAAGAAACAGAGCTCTGTCTACAAGCTTGAGGCTGTGGAGAAGAGCCCTGTGTTTTGTGGAAAATGGGAGATCCTGAACGACGTGATTACCAAGGGCACAGCCAAGGAAGGATCCGAGGCGGGGCCAGCTGCCATCTCTATCATCGCCCAGGCTGAGTGTAGGGGCATGGGGTTGTTGTGGGCATGGGGCAGGTGGGTGGCTGGGCCCAGGGGGTCCCTATGAAGAGAGAGGTTCCTGTCACTGCTAGATAAGATTCTCACAAGACACCCCGAGAATCAGTGGCAAGTGGGGTTGTAAAAGTGCACAGATGGTGAATGTGGTAAGTGGAGGCTGTGCCTGGCATGGCTGGAGCAGGGGAAGAGGTGAGAGGCAGGAGTACTTGGGACGCTGCAGAATCATCAAGCAGGCCATCAACCTTCTGTGGCGACCTTGAGCAGCCCGAGTGTCAGGAGAGGCCCCAGACAGGAAAGGCCAGGTCTCCTGGAAAGCCCCGCCGGGGCCTGTAGGCCCTTCACCACCTTCCACCTAGAGGCGGCCCCACCCCCAGGAATAAGCGTTGTGCTCTTGAGCCTGCTGGGCCAGTCCCGGGGCGGGCAGCCATGGCAGGGTGAGGCCTGGTCTGGTCCTTTCTGCTTCTCATGATGCCTCACGATGACTAGTAATGGTGGCTTCCCTTGGAGACAGAAACTCCTAGGAGGGCTGGGTGGGGCCAGGAGTCCTCTCAGCACGGGAGGCTTCTTGAGTTGGAACCTGGAGAGCTGGACAGCCGTGCCAGCGTTCTCCACACACACACATCCTGCCCGCGTCTCCCACTTTCTCCTGGTTGGTTTTTGAGGAGAGTTGAGAGAATAAAAACTAAAATGCAGTGAGTGACATGTTAATTTTATTTTGGAGGCGAAGTCTCGCTCTGGAGTGCAGTGGTGTGGTCTCGGCTCACTGCAACCTCTGCCTCCCAGGTTCAAGTGATTCTCCTGCCTCAGCCTCCTGAGTAGCTGGGATTACAGGCATGTGCCACCACGCCCAGCTAATCTTTTGTAATTTTAGTAGAGATGGGGTTTCACCGTGTTAGCCAGGATGGTCTCGATCTCCTGACCTTGTGATCTGCACGCCTCAACCTCCCAAAGTGCTGGGATTACAGGTGTGAGCCACGACGCACAGCCATAGTAATTTTTTTAAAAAATATACACATACATATATCCACACTTATATGTACATACAAATATAAATAATACATAATAGCTGGTATTTATCGAGCAGTTTTTCCTATGAGCCAGCCACTATGTTGAGCGTTTTCTGTAGATCATCTTACTTCACTTTACAGGAAGTGAGGCAGGCGCCCTAGGATCCCCATGCTATAGGCATGGCTATTTCAGAGCAGGTGGCAGGGGCCGTGGTCTGCTCTTGACCAATAAGCTGAGAAGCAGGAGAGACAGTACAGGAAGGAGGCGTTGGTGGGGAGGGGACTGCCACACAGGGGTTGTCTGCAAAGGAGGGGAAGGAGTGTGTGCCGAAGGGATCTCTGAGATGGCTCTCCCCTAAGTGCTGAATTCCTGTTCTTTCTCCTCTCTGCTAATGGAACTCCTTTTCCTTTAGGCGAGAATAGCCAAGAGTTCAGCCCCACCTTTTCAGAACGCATTTTCATCGCTGGGTCCAAACAGTACAGGTAAGGGAGAGAGAAGCCTGAGTGGGAAGGCGGGGTCCCAGCGTCCTTGTCCCCAGTGCTTGCCTGGGCTGCTCCTGCTGACCCCGGACTCCCTGCCTCAGCACCTGTGCTTCAGCTCCTGGAACTCGCCCAGGCTTTCCTGGCTGAGCCGCCCTCTCAGCCAAATAAGCTTTTCAAAGGCTTTTCACAGCTTGTGGCTGACTGCCTCTGGGCCACATCAACTTGACATTTTATTTTTGTTCTCCTCAGAGTCCTTAATGCACCCCCTCGTTTCCCATCAACAGGGAGGGTGCTGGGAACCGGAGCTCCTTCCCCCTCCTGCGTGGCCATCAGCGCAGGGCAGGGGGCCCTTCCACTGTCCTCTGTGGGAGAAACCTGCTGGCACCTATTCTCCTGGGAGATACACCGAGTAGGGATGCCGGTGGTGGAAAAGGAGGGGGCAGACCGACTTGGTGGCCTCATGGAAAGGAAGCCAGGGTGGGGCACAGTCTTCCCAGGCTCCGCATTCCCCCACAGAAGATTTTTTGGAACACGAGTTCAAGCTAGAAACAGTTCCCTCCCCATCACCAGGCGGGTTTTCGTATCATTGGAGTTTGGAACCTGGTAGTGATAAGACTGTGGGGAGGGCAGCTGCCTTGGAACAAGGAATGTTCAGCGGTTGGTGGGATTCCCTCCACTGTCCTGGGTGCCTTTTGGCCCAGGGTAGGAGCCTCTGATAGATACACTTCTTTCAGCTGTCCGAGAGAAGCCTGTAGGCCTCCACTGGCCCCTGGCACTGCCATGAGTCTGCCTCCTCTGTGGGGGCAGAAGATGAGGCCAAGGGAGGGTGGCTGAGGCCATGGTCTGCTCCACAGCTGTTCTGTAGCAATCCTTCTGTTGCCAGGCCCTTTAATACCTGGCAGGGATCCCAGTCCAGTTAGAGCCATGGTAGTGATGAGCCCCAAGGCCAGCAGAGAAGAGCAGGCTCCCCGGGACCAGGCAGCAGCCCAGGCTGTCACCTCCCACAGCAGCCAGGGACCCCCAGGAACTAAGAGAGTGGAAGTGACCAGCCTCACCTGTTCCTCCACCCAGAGGCAACAGAAACAAGCTGTGCTCAGTCCAAGCTGAGAGTGCCTGCCATGAGCGTGGCCCCCTTTGGGGAACTTCCCAGAGGCAGCTCACCTTGGAGAGCAGTGAGCAAGCAGTGTCTGCTCCCCCACTTGCCCCATCACCATAGTAACTAGCACGGCTTCTTGGCAGCTTGCTTTGGGGGGCAGACACTGAGCTAGGCTTTTTAAGTGAATTAAATTATTGAAGCCTCATCTCCACCCTGCATGGCAGAAAATACCAAACCCATTTGATAAGTGAGATAAGTGAGAAAACTGAGGCTCCTTGGGGTTTAGAAACTTTGCCACGTTCACACAAGGAATGGCAAGCTGGGATTTGACCTTGGGTCTTCAGGAGCCCAGACATAGCTATCTGCACCATTCCATCTTCCTGCGTCCTCGTGCTCAACATGCAAATCTGTCCCTTTTTTGACAGCCAGTCTGAGAGTCTTGATCAGATCCCCAACAATGTGGCCCATGCTACGGAGGGCAGAATGGCCCATGTGTGTTGGAAGGGAAAGCGTCGCAGCAAAGCCCGGAAGAAACGGAAGAAGAAGAGCTCAAAGTCCCTGGCTCATGCAGGAGTGGCCTTGGCCAAACCCCTCCCCAGGACCCCTGAGCAGGAGAGCTGCACCATCCCAGTGCAGGTGAGACCCTCCTCCCACTGCCCAGACCCCGAGCTCATGCGGGCTCAGAAATGGAGCTGTGCCTTGGGCCTGGCCCTGTGTGCTGACGGTTGTGTTTCCCCCGCAGGAGGATGAGTCTCCACTCGGCGCCCCATATGTTAGAAACACCCCACAGTTCACCAAGCCTCTGAAGGAACCAGGCCTTGGCCAACTCTGTTTCAAGCAGCTTGGCGAGGGCCTGCGGCCGGCTCTGCCTCGATCGGAACTCTACAAACTGATCAGCCCCGTGCAGTGTCTGAGCCACGTGTGGAAACTGCACCACCCCCAGGACGGAGGCCCCGTGCCCCCACCCACACACCCCTTCCCTTATAGCAGACTGCCCCATCCCTTCCCATTCCACCCTCTCCAGCCCTGGAAACCTCACGCCCTGGAGTCCTTCTTCCTGGGCAAACTGGCCTGTGTAGACAGCCAGCGACCCTTGCCTGGCCCACACCTGAGCAAACTGGCCTGTGTAGACAGCCGGAATCCCCTACCTGGCCCACACCTGAGCAAACTGGCCTGTGTAGACAGCCAGAAGCCCCTGCCTGGCCCACACCTGGAGCCCAGCTGCCCATCTCGCGGTGCCCACGAGAAGTTTTCTGTGGAGGAATACCTGGTGCATGCTCTGCAAGGCAGCGTGAGCTCAGGCCAGGCCCACAGCCTGACCAGCCTGGCCAAGACCTGGGCAGCAGGGGGCTCCAGGCCCCGAGAGCCCAGTCCCAAAACTGAGGACAGCGAGGGTGTCCTGCTCACTGAGGTAACTAATCCCCTAGCACGTGTATATGTCCTTCCACCAGCAACCTGGGGAGATGCTTTTCTGTCTTTATCAGAGTCACTCATGCCTGTGGTAGCAAATCAGACAGTAGGACAATGCTGACTGTGGATGGAAAGTGTCATCTCTCACCCGCCAACCTCACTTTTCACAGCCTTTTTAACATCTTCTGTTCCGAGTTCTTCTGGTTGGTCACCCCTGCTTGCTGAATGTGGGCGCTGCATGAATAATACACATGCTGAGGACCAGGGGAATCAGCCGGGACCCACTGGAGATGTTGTCACAGCCCCCCGAGATGGAAGATGGGGATGGGACCCGTTTTCACCACCCATCTCCTTCCCTTTCTCCGCTTGTTCACTTCCCAAATAATTTTATAACTTTAAATGATTTTATCAAACTTTGATTTCTGGGTTTTATTCCAGCCAACCACTTTTATTTCTTTTAATATATATGTGTTTTAAGACAGAGTCTCACTCTGTCACCCAAGCTGCAGTACAGTGGTACAATCATAGCCCACTACAACCTCCATCTTCTAGGTTCAAGCAATCCTCCTGCCTCAGCCTCCCAAGTAGCTGGGGCTACAAGCATGCACCACCACACCCACCTGAATTTTTTTAGTAGAGACAAGGTCTTGCTGTGTTGCCCAGGCTGGTCTCAAACTCCTGGGCTAAAGCAATCCTCACACATTGGCCTTCAAAAGTGCTGGGATTATAGGTGTGAGCCACTATGCCATCTTTTTCTAGCTATTTTTTTTTTTTTTTTTTTTTTTTGAGATAGGGTCTCACTCTGTCACCCAGGCTGGAGTGCAGTGGCACTGTATCAGCTCACTGGGTTCAAGTGATTCTGCCACATCAGTCTCCCAAGTAGCTGGGACTATAGGTGTGTAGCACCATGCCAGGTTAATTTTGTATTTTTTGATAGAGAGAGGGTTTCACCATGTTGGCCAGGCTGGTCTCAAACTCCTAACATCGAGTGATCTGCCCACTTTGACCTCCCAAAGTGCTGGGATCACAGGCGTAAGCCACCATGCCCGTCCTCTCCATCTACTTTTAATATCATCCTTGACTCTGGCCCCTCTTCACTGCTCCTCCCTTCCCTCCACCTTCTAGCTCCTGAGTTTTGCTTTTTCAGTGTCAAGGTCATTGGCAGTTCGGCTTCTGTCTCATCATCACACGTCTGGGATGTTTTTCATCACAAGGATCAGTGGCTGCAGCCTGTGAACCTTGCCTTCACCACATTCCTCCATCCCCCCTGTGGTGCTGTCCGGCTCAGAGCCCTGCCTTTGCCCCAGGGCTGCCTGGTTGTGAGGGCTCAGCTCAACAGCCCTGGCAAGATTACCAGCTGGAGAGCCTTCCTTACTGTAGCCCTGTAGCCCTCTGCTGTCCTGACCACTAAAACCGGCCTCTCTCTCCTGCCAACCCCAGAAACTCAAGCCAGTGGACTATGAGTACCGAGAAGAAGTCCACTGGGCCACACAGCAACCCTGCCTGGGCAGAGGCTCCTTCGGAGAGGTGTACAGGATGCAGGACAGGCAGACTGGCTTCCAGTGCGCTGTCAAAAAGGTACGCCAGGGCTGGGGGCTGAGTGAAGAGGGAAGCCGGGAAGGGGTCCTGGTGTGTTCCCTCGGCTTTGTCAAGGACAGTCACGGGGTGGCTGTGCGTCTGACTTGTGAACAGAGCTTGCTGTCACTAGCCACCCGAGGTTGGCTGGAACGGGAAGGGAGCCTGTCACATGTCCTGGCCTGGCCGCTGCCCTTGGCATGTGTGTGTGTGAGAGGACGCGCAGCCTTGGTGTCTCAATAGCCAGGGCCCTGAGGGGCAAGTCCCAACTTGGAAGGTGCTTGGAGCGTCATGAAATTCATGCTACGGTAAAACCCCTAAATCACACAGGGGGCTGCCCCCCGACCTGGGCCAGATGATAGGGAAAGCAGTAGCCTCCATTGTCGGGCGCTTCCAGGAGGAGGCCAGCCTCCGTGGGAGCGGGCAGAGCTCTGCCTCCCGTCGGCCAGGTGTGCTGCAGTCCTGCGGGGCAGATGCGCTGAGGAGATGAAGCTCGGCAAGAGAGGAAGTCACTGGCCAGGTGACAGAACCCGGATTCAGACCAGCTCTGTGTGACCTGAGAGTTCAGCTTTGAACCACTTTTCAAGAAGAGGAGGAAAGAAGACAGACTTGTGGTGCTAGAGTTCTGAGTACAGGCAAAGATGTGAATCGCCTCTCCCGCCCCTTCATCTCCCTGACGTTAGACGTGAGAGCAGAGAGGACGGTGGGGCCTCCTGTTAGATCACACTGTCCGGGCCCCGGGGGGATCGGTGACTGCTGCAGACCCACAGGCCTCATGGGTGTCAGCCCTGCTCCCCGTCACCAACTTTCCCCCACCCCCAACTCTCAGATCACGTTGATTAGAAGCCACCTTGTACCCGGTCAAAGCTTTCGGCCTCAAAGCCAGCACCAGGACCTAAGGCACGTTTCTGTGGCCCATCACCTTGGCCCTTTGGGCAGGGTGAAGTAAGCTGAGAGATAAACCTTGTTTCAGGTGGCTTGTGTCAAAGACGCCCCAATCCCAAAAAGGAAAGCAACAAATATAAGTTGAGCATCTCCAGTCTGAAAACCCAAAATCTGAAGTGCTCCAAAATCCAAGACTTGGAGCACCAACCTGACACAGCAAATGCTCACTGTTGCCAGAGCACAGAAGCCTGGCCCACACTGACCCCATTCCGAGCAGACACTACCACCGCTGTCGGGGGTGCCTGTGGCCTCCAGGGGAGAGGAGGCAGCTGGGATGTCAATACACCTGGCTTCGCTGGTGTCTACTTGGGCTGGATGGTGAGACCAGCGAGGGGACTATCTGCAGGTACCACCCCAAACTTCAGACACGCTGCGTCAAATATGAAAGCTCTGCCTTCACCACCCCCGACTGGCCACACGTGCCGAGTGCATGCATGCTGAGTGTTGAGTGAGTGCGTGCTGAGTTCTTGCCGAGTTCCTGCCAGTGTGGATCATCGTCTTCCACTTGGAGTCCAAGGCCACGTGCCTGACCTGCTCAGCTGCAGTTCCCCTCCCCAGGCTATCGGAGAAGGCTCAGCTGTCCCTCCTGAGAGGTGGTGGGAGGAGGGTGTGAGAGTGTGAAGAGACACGCACCCAGCACTGGGAGCTTAGTCACTGGGCTTCTCAGCTGTTCCCCTGCTGAGGACCTCAGAGTCCCAGGCAACAAGGTAAACAACCCTAATATAGTGGAAGAGCACAAATACTCCATGTCTCGCCCCTCGCACCCGCTGCAAGGCAGTCGGAAAAACTGCAAGCACAAGGCCTGGACTTCTCAGCATGGGAGCTGCAGCTCAAGCCCACCAGAGCTGGCCACTTGCAGAACCAGTTTCTTCCCACCCGGGGGAATTCAGTGGGAATGGCTCTTTGGCAGCCTGAACAGCTGCCTTTGGATAGGCAGACAGCCCCTCCTTTCCCTCAAGGCAGTGGTGTCCTTTAGGGTTTTCAGCTGGAAGAGCACGAGAAACAGTTCCCTGATGAGGGGGTGGGGACCAAGAGGGGGCCAGGCATCAGAGGTCAGGCTGCACATCAGGTCACACCAAGTCCCCACACCTCCGATGCTCCTCGGGGAGAATCCAGGATGTGAGGCGTCACGTAGTGGTGCCAGCACTCCCTTCATCCTCCTTCTAGAACATCCTGATCCAGGTGCTGATTGGCCATGGGTCCAGGCTTTGAGGCAGTTTTTTTTGGTTCTCGTTTTTGTTTTGAAGACAAAGTCTCACTCTGTGACCCAGGCTGGAGTGCTGTGGTACAGTCTTGGCTCACTGGAACCTCCACCTCCCATGTCCAAGCAATTCTCCTCCCTCAGCCTCCCGAGTAGCTGGGACTACAGACAACAACGCCATGCCCGACTAATTGTTTTGTATTTTTAGTAGAGATGGGGTTTCACCATGTTGCCCATGCTGGTCTTGAACTCCTGAGCTCAGGCATTTGGCCTCCCAAAGTGCTAGAATTAAAAGCATGAGCCACTACACCCGGCTTTTTCTTTTCTTTTCTTTTCTTTTTTTAAGGTTTTGTTTGATCTTTCTTTCTTTTTTTTTTTTTTTTTTTCTTTTTTTTGAGACAGGATTTTGCTCTTTTGTCCAGGCTGGTATGCAGTGGAATGATCACAGCCCGCTGCAGCGTCAGCCCCACAGACCCAAACAACCCTGTCACCTCAGCTTCCCAAGTAGCTGTGACTTCAGATAGCCACCACCACACCCAGCTAATTTTTTTATTTTTTGTAGAGGACAGGGTCTCACTATGTTGCCCAGGCTGGTCTCAAACTCCTGGGCAACCTCCCAAAGTGCTGGGATTACAGGTGTGCCCCACCAGGATCTCTTTTTAATAGAAAAAACAACTACTTGTTTACACACACATAAAAAGTCTGGACTGGGTACAGTGGCTCATGCTTGTAACCTCAGTACTTTGGGAGGCTGAGGTGGGAAGACTGCTTGAGGCCAGGCGTTGTAGACCAGCCTGGGCAACATAGCAAGATTCCATGTCTACAAAAAAGTTTTAAAGAAAAATAGAAGTAAAAAAGAAATTTTACAAGTCTAAAAAGATGTCTGACAAAGGGCAGTTACCTCTGAGAATAGGATTGGGGAATGGAGACTTCGCACTTTTTTGGAATCATTTGAATTCTTTTATAATGAGCCTATATTTGTTTGCAATTAAAAGTAAGATCAAGCCGGGCGCTGTGGCTTGATCTGGCCTCCCAGAGTGCTGGGATTACACCTATAATCCCAGCACTTTGGGAGGCCAAGGCGGGCAGATCACTTGAGGTCAGGAGTTTGAGACCAGCCTGACCAACATAGCAGAATCCCAAAAGTACTTTTAAAAACTAGCCAGGTGTGGTGGCGCATGCCTGTAATCCCAGCTACTCAGGAGGCTGAGGCAGGAGAATTGCTTGAACTCAGAAAGCAGAGGTTGCAGTGAGCCAAGATTGTGCTACTGCACTCCAGCCCAGGCAACAGAGCAAGACTCCATCTCAAAAAAAAAAAAAAAAAAAAAAAAAGTGTTTGTGTGTTGCATGTATGGGCAATCACACATTTCTAAAGAATAGTTCATATCATTTACCAGATTCTCAGAAGGGTCTGTAGCCCAAAAAGGGTTAAGAATCACCCCTTTTAGAACATCTGGCTCAAGTTTGGAGTTCTGGGAGCTTTGCTGTGGCTCTGCTGCTGATCTGGGATAATGTGGCCTTGGCCAAGTCAACCCAGCTGTCACCAAGCACCTGCTCTGTGCCAGACACTGCAGGGGCTGGGGACAGAGACGTGAAATCCATAGGCCTGACCTGAAGGAACTGGAGCTGTTATGAGGGATAAACATTTGTATTGGGGCAAAGGTGAGCAGCCTTCAGACCTGGACACGTGTTTAGGAGGAAAACAGCCCAGAGATCAAGGGGAGAATATCTTGATCAATGGTGATGAAAAAACAAGGCGGGACCCTCTAATATTCACTGGGCATCTGTGCTCAGTACTGTGGTATTTCCTTTCACATAGTTTATGTTCCTGAAATCTTCAAAAGAATTTATAGAATTGCTCTTACGCCTTTTTTTATTGATGAGATAAAACAGATAAAAATACGAAAGAAAACAAGAGGGAAGTTCAAGGAGGAAAAAGTGGTCCCCAGTGTCCAGCGTGCAGGCAGTCGAGGGGAGGAAGTGGCCTCTGGATCAGGCAGTAGGCTTATTGCTGAGAGTGCTGCCACCTGAGGATACTCACTCCTGAATGTATTTTAAAACATTAGCATGGAGGCCACACGCAATGGCTCATGCCTGTAATCTCAACATGTTGGAGGCCAAGGTGGGAGAATCACTTGAGCCTAGGAGTTCAAGACCAGCCTGGGCAACATGGTGAAACCTCATCTCTACAAAAATACAAAAGTTAGCTGGACATGGCACCTATAGTCTCAGCTACTTGGGAGGCTGAGATGGGAGGATTGCTTGAGCCCAGGAAGGTCAAGGCTGCAGTGAGCTGTGATTGTGCCACTGCACTACAGTCTGGCTAACTGAGTGAGACCTTGTCTCAAAAAAAAAAAAAAAAAAAAAAAAAAGATCAGCATGGAAAGGCCTTCAGGAGGCAGAGTAGCTGGTGGCAGCTCAGGAGGCAGACTTGCCCATGTAAAAGACTGGCTGTGATCCTTTATACCCAGTGACCTTAGGCTAATTACTTGTCCAGGCTTCCGCTTCCTCATCTATAAAATAATGATCCCACGAGCTTATAGACTATTATAAGATCTAAATAACTAATGCTTAGAAAGGGCTTCACCGGGCCAGGCACAGTGGCTTACACCTGTAATCCCAGCACTTTGGGAGGTCGAGGTGGGCAGATCAACTGAAATCGAGCGTTTGAGACCAGCCTCACCAACATGGAGAAACCCCATCTCTACTAAAAATACAAAATTAGCCAGGTGTAGTGGCAGGCACCTGTAATCCCAGCTACTCAGGATGCTGAGGCAGGAGAATCGCTTGAACCTGGGAGGCAGAGGTTGCAGTGAGTTGAGATTGCGGCATTGCACTCCAGCCTGGGCAAGAAGTGCAAAGTGAGAGAGAGAGAGAGAGAGAGAGAGAGAGAGAGAGAAGAAATGAAGAAAAGGAAGGAAAGAAGGATCAACCTTCACCAGTGCCTGGGAAACTGACGAGTGGACATTAGATAGTAGTTCCCTCATCGCAGTCCAGCTCCCTCATTTTACAGATGAGGAACACGGAAGTTCAGAGAGGAGGGTTAGCCAGACGGGCAGCCAACCTGGCCTGGAAAGCTGGGCTGCTTTCTACGCTGGCACAGACTTCTAAAGCACCTTGTGTTTTGAAGTATCTCCTCCCACCAGCTTTGGTCTGAGTGGTTGGAAATATTTTTAGCATGGCCAGGACACTCTAAGAGGACTTACAGATTTCTACAAAGTTAACGCCAAGTTTCCCCAACTCTTTTGGATCACAGCCCTGTTAATATCTCAGTCATTGTTTCAGGGCAACCCAGGCCAAAACAAATACCCAACAGTTCTGTTTATGAAGCAATGAGGTCAAATAATAAGTCTTTATCCTGACAACTTAGTAGCCATTTGAGAAGCAACACATAAGTTGAAAGAAAAAGAGTCCTTCCCTTTGCAAACAGCCAGATTATCAATGAGATGTATGCCTTGTTGTGCATTTCAACCCTTGAAATCAGATAGGACACCACCACCTTCATTCCCTATTACACATTTTCTCCTTGAAGTACTTTTAATCACAGTGACCTCCAAAAACCTGGCTTCATAGAGATACATTATCAAAGGGAATGTTGCGTGATCGAACTTTGAAGCTGAACTATTTCGAGCGAGTAATTTACTGCAGTGTCCTGCAGATGTTGCAGTGACTTGTTTCTCAGTGTCACATATCCATTTGGCACCCTTCTGAGTTCTCTGCAGTGTCCCGGGCTGCCTCAGCTCAGTTTGGGAGTCGTTAGGCTGAAGACATTTGCTAACAAGTCCTGTGGTTGAATTAGTTCCAACTCAGGTTCAGAGGCTTTTTAAACAGAGCTGGAAACACAGAGTCAAAGTTCATGGGAGGTGATTAACCAAACCAGATATTAGGTAACCAGAAGGGTGACATTTTCCACTGAGAGGCAAAAGTCCAAAAACCCCACAGCATCAGAGCTGTTTGCCAAGTCAGCAAGTCTGTGGAGATCTCTTCCAAGCTGGTTCTGTTACTGCCAGCGCCCCCTGGCGATGCCACTCAAGGCTTGCATGAGAACCATTAACAACTGGGAAGGAGGACAAGTCTCTAGGGAGGGGAGCACTACACACTGGGGTCTGTTGGGGGGAAATAGGGGAGGGGCAGCCGGGGGTGGGGCGTTGGGGAGAGAGAGCATGGGGAGAAATGCCAGATATAGGTGATGGGGAAGAAGGCAGCAAATCACACTGCCACGTGTGTACCTATGCAACAATCCTGCATGTTCTTCACATATACCCCAAAACCTAAAATGCAATTAAAAAAAAAAAAAAAAAGGAAAAAAAGAAGTCAAAGAGGCAGCCAGGTGTGGTGGCTCACGCCTACAATCCCAGCACTTTGGGAGGCCGAGGCTGGCAGATCACTTAAGGTCAGGAGTTTGAGACCAGCCTGACTAACATGGTGAAACCCAATCTCTACTAAAAACACAAAAAATTAGCCATGTGTGGTTGCGGTTGCCTGTAATCCCAGACACTCAGGAGGCTGAGGCAGGAGAATTGCTTAAACCCAGGAGGCGGAGGTTGTAATGACCTGAGGTTGTGCCGCTGCACTCCAGCCTGGGCAACAGAGTGAGAGTCCGTCAAGTCCGTCTCAAAAAAAAAAATAAAATCTGAGTGTCACTCTAAGAATCAGCCTCTCTGATGTGAGCTGGAGGAACTGAGGAGCTAGCATTTCCTTAGTGCCCACTGGTTGCCAGGCGTAGTGTTGGTTACCATCCTTACAAATCCTTGCTTTACCCAGGAGCAGATACCACCGTCCTTGCTGTTTGGATGTGGAAACACATGGATGGGAAGTGAGCTGTCTTGTTTTAAAAGGCTGAGCCAGGATCTAAGCCCAAGATGTTTATATCCAAGGCCTATTTCCTCCCATCAAGTGGCTGGTCCCTCCAGAAAGGAGTGGAGGATCCTGGGCGTACCAGTCGGCAGTGGGAGTGGCCTTGGCCAAACCCCTCCACAGAGCCTCCTTATGTCCCCAGATGCCGGGAGACAACTGCAAACAGAATAAACACTGCCCTGTCTACGTGCACGTTTTAGTCCTCTGGGAAACAAATAACTTTAAGAGTTAAGAAAAGTGTCAAGGAGGCCAGGCATGATGGCTCACACCTGTAATCCTAGGACTTTGGGAGGCCAGCGCAGGTGGATCACAAGTTCGGGAGTTTGAGACCAGCCTGGCCAGTATGGTAAAACCCCATCTCTACTAAAAATGAAAACTAGCTGGGCATGGTGGTGTGTGCCTGTAGTCCCAACTACTCAGGAGGCTGAAGCAGGAGAATCGCTTGAATCTGGGAGGTAGAGGTTGCAGTGAGCCAAGATCATGCCACTGCACTCCAGCTTGGGCAACAAAGCAAGACTCTCAAAAAGAAAAGAAAGAAAAAAGGGCACCTGATGGAGTCCATCCAAATCTTGGTTCTTGACCGATAAGTCAGAAACCCAGCTTCTGAGAGTAGACATGGATGCTGATAAGCAAAAGGTCCCACATCCTAGAAATTGCTGAGACATTTAGCTGGAAAAAAAAATGTGCCGCGTTTGGCAGATATGAGGGCGGGCAGCGTGCCAGCAGCCTGGATGAGGAATGTAGTATGGCTGTTTTTGCACACAGCACTGCAGAACTTTAATTAAGTACAAGAAGTTGCTCCTGATACTAAGAGCATGGGATACACAATTCAGCCTCTGAGGGTCCAGCAGGCCCCCTAGGCCCCTGCATTGCCACTGGAAACATCAGTCGCCTCTATGTATGGAGCACCAGCGTCCTGACAGGATCCAGGGACTGCTCTCTGGTACCCTCACCCTGTCTCACAGCTACCTCTGGGCCCTTGCAGGTTCGGCTGGAAGCATTTCGGGCAGAGGAGCTGATGGCATGTGCAGGATTGACCTCGCCCAGAATTGTCCCTTTGTATGGAGCTGTGAGGGAAGGACCTTGGGTCAACATCTTCATGGAGCTGCTGGAAGGTAAGGGGCCAAATCCCACTCTTTCTTCAGATTCAGGGCCAAGGGTTCCCCCCTGAGTCTTGCCCAAGTTGCCCTTGGTCACTGATCCATCCATGGTGAACCTCTCGACCCTGCGGCATCTGCAGGAAAGGCCTACTGTCCACCGCCTGCCCTGTGCTCTTACCCTTGGCTGGCCTGGAGGCCAGGGCCAGCCTCATGTAAAGCCTGACCCTTGGTCTCCTAGGTGGCTCTCTGGGCCAACTGGTCAAGGAACAGGGCCGTCTCCCGGAGGACCGGGCCCTCTACTACCTGGGCCAGGCCCTGGAGGGGCTGGAATACCTCCACTCACGGAGGATTCTGCATGGGGACGTCAAAGGTAAGGCTCAAGCCCCAAAGCCCTGCTCCCCGGCAGGCTCTTCCCTCACACCATCCTGCCTGATCTCCTCCCAGTTCTGGGCTGGCCTGGTCATCTCCAGTGGTGGGCCTGAGTCAGGCTGACAGGGCTGTGCCTGTAGGGAGGGGAACGATGCTCTCCAAGCCCATAACCTAGCACTGGAGTTTCTGGAAATGGTGGCCACGGAGAATGTAAGGTCAAGCTCCCACCCATTGGTGACCCCTGGTATGCGGTTGGGGCAGGCGAGCAGAGTGGCCGCGTTCCCCAGAGTAAACCCTGCCCCTGTCCCCTCGCCCTCAGAGATCCCGCCTGCCTCTAGCCTGAATTGACGCCCTCCCTTCCTCCACGGCTAATGAAACTAAGTCAGAAGCAGCAGCTGCCATGTGGGGTCAGCCAGAAAATTATGTCACTGGAGGGCAGGCCAAACCGAGCCTGAGTGGGCTGGGACCCGGCATGACTCACCTGTTCCTCTTCCTCCCTGTGGCGGCCTGGCAGCTGACAACGTGCTCCTGTCCAGCGATGGGAGCCATGCGGCCCTCTGTGACTTTGGCCATGCTGTGCGTCTTCAACCCGATGGCCTGGGGAAGTCCTTGCTCACAGGTAAGGCCCCCACCAACTGCCCTGCCCCCAGTGCATTCATTCCCCAAATGCCTTCCATGCTTTCCACAATGGGAATTGAGATGTGAACACTTAGGTCCACCTGTGTGTTTCAACCCCACAACCAGCCTGAGTTATTATCGGGTTTTCTTGTTATGAGTAAATGCAATAATGAATGTCAGGTGCTCATTGCTGATGCTCCTGTACACAGGGAAGGGAAGGGAAAGGCTGAGTGACTCTCCCTAGATCCCAGGCCTCTGCCTTAGAGCCCCTGTGGCTCCACACCTCTTGTCTGGCATTTTCAGGTGAGTGCCCTGCCAGCCAGTGACCCCAGCTCTCCTGCACCTCTGAGCACAGTTGGCTGGAAGCACAGTGGGCAGGCTAACCAAGGGGCTTTACCTGTGAGCAAGGGATTTCCCCAGGCTAACCACTGGGCTCTAAAGCCAGTGAAATATCTCTTTAACTTCTCTGATTATTAAAATAATCCGTGCCCACTGTATAGTACAGGGTTAAGCATACAAAAGAGACGGGCTAGGCACAGTGGCTCACACCTGTAATCCCAGCACTTTGGGAGGCCAAGGCGGGCAGATCATGAGGTCAAGAGATCGAGACCAGCCTGGCCAGCATAGTGAAACCCTGTCTCTACTAAAATACAAAAATTAGCTGGGCATGGTGGTGTGTGCCTGTAGTCCCAGCTACTTGGGAGACTGAGGCAGAAGAACTGCTTGAACCCAGGAGGCGGAGGTTGCAGTGAGCCGAGATCGTGCCACTGCACTCCAGCCTGGCACCTGGCAACAGAGCGAGACTGTCTCAAAAAAAAAAAAAAAGAGAGAGAGAGAACAGAATTCTCACTATTCCTCTTACCCAGAAAGAGAATCACCAATTTTTTTTTTTTTTTTTTTTTTTTTTTTTTTGAGATGGAGTCTCACTCTCTCACCCAGTCTGGAATGCAGTGGCACAATCTCAGCTCACTGTAACCTCCACCTCCCAAGTTCAAGCAATTCTCCTGCCTCAGCCTCCCAAGTAGCTAAGATTACAGGCGCACGCCCCCATGCCTGGCTAATTTTTGTATTTTTAGTAGAGGTAGGGTTTTGCCATGTTGGCCAGACTGGTCTTGAACTCCAGACCTCAGGCAGTCTGCCCACCTCAGCCTCCGAAGGTGCTGGGATTACAGGCGTGAGCCTCCACGCCCGGCTGAATCACAAATATTTTAGATAACTCCTTCCAGGCGTTTGTTTTCCCTGTGCCTAGTTAGGGCCATCATAACACGATTTTGTGCCCTGCTTTTTTCATTTATAGCATTAAGAAAAATGATTTCATTCTGGCCAATGGAAAAAGAATCTTTTGGAAGTATATGATTGTGTGTTGTTAAAGGACTGTGTTGGGAATTCTGAAGATGTAAATTAATATGGACACTTGACCTCCACCCATGTTATTTTAAGCCCTTTTAAAATAACTTTAGTGGGCTTTTTCTTATTACAAAAAAAATTTTTTTTTCTATTTTTTTTTATTTATGTATGTTGCCCGGGCTGGTCTCAAATTCCTGGATTCAAGCAATCCTCTCACCTTGGTCTCCCAAAGTGCTGGAATTAGAGGCATGAGCCACTCCCTGACCCTTTTTTCTAGTATCTTTTTTTGTTTGTTTTTTGTTGGAGACAGAGTCTTGCTCTATTGCCCAGGCTGGAGTACGTGGTGTGATCCTGACTCACTGTAACCTCTGTCTCCCAGGTTCAAGTGATTCTCCTGCCTCAGCCTCCCAAGTAACTGTGATTACAGGCGCACACCACCACATCCAGCTAATTTTTATATTTTTAGTAGAGATGGGGTTTCACTGTGTTGATCAGGCTGGTCTGAAACTCCTGACTTTGTGATCCACCCACCTCTGCCTTCCAAAGTGCTGGGATTACAGGCATGAGCCACCACGTCCAGCCTTTTCTAGTATCTTTTGAAGAAAGTAGGGCTAAGCAAAAATTATAAATACAAATCACCAGGAAAAACCTTGTTCGCATCTGCCATCTATCCTTTCAGCCTTTTACACATATAAGTTTTCTATCACTATTTTTAAATTTCCCTACTAGCATTTCAGGAACATCATACCAGTAATTAGCCTCCTACAACCTAATTTGTAATGTCCAGCTCCTACCCCATTTTTCTTTTTTTTTGAGATGCAGTCTCACTCTGTTGCCCAGGCTGGACTACAACCTCTGCCTCCTGGGTTCAAGCAGTTCTCTACCTCAGCCTCCCAAGTAGCTGGGATTACAGGCACGTGCCACCATGCCTGGCCAATTTTGGTATTTTTAGTAGAGATGGGTTTCACCGTCTTGGCCAGGCTGGTCTTGAACTCACGACTTCGTGATCCACCTGCCTGAGCCTCCCAAAGTGCTAGGATTACAGGCGTGAGCCACCATGCCTGGCCTACCTGCCCCACTTTCAAAAAGCACTTTAAGGGTTTGGTCCAAAGGGCAGAGTCCACATCACAGATGCTCTGTTGCTTTGTACAAGTTCCCAGCAGAGTCCGCCCTCAGCTCCTCGCTACAAGTTTGACTTGGAGACTTTATTTCTATATTTAAAGTCCTTTTTTTTTTTTTTTTTTTTTTTGAGATGGACTCTCACTCCGTCACCAGGCTGGAGTGCAGTGGCGCGATACTGGCTATAATCCCAGCACTTTGGGAGGCCGAGGTGGGCGGGTCAGGAGTTCAAGACCAGCCTGGCCAACATAGTGAAACCCCGCCTCTACTAAAAATACAAAAATTAGCTGGGCGTGGTAGCTTGCCCCTGTAGTCCCAGCTATACAGGAGACTGAGGCAGAAGAATCACTTGAACACGAGAACCAGAGGTTGCAATGAGCCAACATCACGCCACTGCACTCCAGCCTGGGCAACAGAGCACGACTCTGTCTCAAATAATGAAAAAAATAATAAAATAAAAAGTACTTTAACAGTGACAAATTCAAGATACCCCAAGGATTAATGGAGGTGGCCACTCCCTAGGCTTCTGCCCTTCAGCATTTCAGGTGACTTTTTGTCTCATCCGCCTTCTCAGGGGACTACATTCCTGGCACAGAGACCCACATGGCGCCAGAGGTGGTGCTGGGCAGGCGCTGCGGCGCCAAGGTGGACGTCTGGAGCAGTTGCTGCATGATGCTGCACATGCTCAATGGCTGCCATCCCTGGACCCAGTTCTTCCGGGGGCCGCTCTGCCTCAAGGTGGGTGCCGGCACCTGGCATGGCCAACAAGGGGTGCTGCAGGGCCCTGGGGCCCAGGCTGCAGGCTTGAGGGGCTGCTGTGCGGGGGCAGATGGAGCAGGGGGCGGCCTGGTCATCTGTGTGGGATCCTAATTCAAATACTTGCCACCCAAATCTGGCGGTGGCAAGGGGAGATCCAGCTGCGGGAGCTCACTGAGTTTATCGCAGGTGAGAGCTCTCGTCTGTCCATACCCTGGACTCCCCTCCTGTGGGCATCTTGCTGCCTGGCCCTGGCCTGTTTCTACTGGCTCCGTTTTTCCCTTTCCTAGGAAAACTGTCCTCACTGCAGCCCAGACCCCTCCATTCCTTGAGCTAGACCCCAGCACAGCAGGAGCAGGGGCCAGCAGGGGTTGTGCAGAGCAATAACAGCCGGGTACCCAGAAATGAGGGAAGGCACCTGTTGTCTTCTACCCGCCAGATTGCCAGCGAGCCCCCGCCTGTGAGGGAGATCCCACCCTCCTGCGCCCCTCTCACAGCCCAGGCCCTCCAAGAGGGACTGAGGAAAGAGCCCATCCACCGCGCATCTGCGGCAGAGCTGGGAGGGAAGGTCAGCCGGGCACTACAGCAAGGTAAGGAGAGCCCCGCACTGGCTGACCCGGGGGTGGGGGGCGGAGAGCCATGGTGGAAAGAGGAGGCAGATGAGTACAGGTCCAGAGCCAGGCAGCCCTCAGAGCCTTAGTTTCCCCTCTGGAGTATGGGGGTACAGCAACCTCAGGGTTGTTGGGAGATTTTGGCAGCACCACGCCTTGACACAGAAGCAGCACTCAGGAGATGGGGAGAGAAAACACACACAAACCCGAAGTGCTTTTTCTGTTCTCCCACTCAACTACAATCAACCCAGAAGACTCCTGTGACCACATGTGTGGAGATTTCCACCCACCAAGCCAGCCATCAGTTCCGCAGCAGACACCAGCTGAGTGTCCTCTAATTCAGTTCTGTTCCAACATTGTCTACCTGGAGATAGCGTCAGATCCCACAGGAGAGCTCAGTCCCCAAGACAGCCCCTGCTTCCCATGCCAGTCGCAGGCCCCACGTGTTTACCTGTGCTTCTGACCAACTGGCTGTAAATCAGAGACACTATGACTCCCTCCTTGGGATCGATTAATTTGCGGACGGGCTCACGGAACTCAGGGAAACCCTTCCTTACATTTACCAGTTTATTAGAAAGGATATTACAACAGGTACAAATGAAGAGATGCAGAGGGTAAGGCGTGTGGAACTCCAGGGCTCGCTACCTCCCAGGAGCCTCCACGTGCCCAGCTACCAGAAGCTTCTGAACCCTGTCCTCTTGGGGCTTTTGGGTTTTTGTGGAGGCTTCATTACGTAGGCATGATTGAATAAATCACTGGCCATTGGTGAACAGCTTAACCGTCAGTGCCCTTCCCTCCAGTATGTGGGATGGTAGGATGAAAGTCCCAGCCCTCTAATCCTGCCCCTGTCTCTCTGATGACCAGCCCCCATCCTGAAGCTACCTACGAGCTGCCAGCCCCCAGACAGTCCATTAGCACATAAAAAGAGATCACTTTAACTTTTAGGAGTTATATGCCAGAAATGGGGTTAAAGACAAAATATATGTTTACTAGTATCACAAGGGTTATGATGTGTAAAGGGGACTCAAACTCACGAGGAATCCAAGAATACAAAATAAAGCCAGGCGGGATGCATTGGCTCACACCTGTAATCCCAGCACTTTGGGAGGCTGAGGCAGAAAGATCACTTGAGGCCAGGAGTTCAAGATCAGCCTGGGCAACACAGCAAGACCCTTTCTCTGCAAAAAAAGAAAAGGAAAAAAAAACTAGCCAGACATAGTGGTGCATGCCTGTAGTCCCAGCTATGCAGGAAGTGGGAGGACTGCTTGAGCCTGGGAGGTCGAGGCTACAGTGAGCTGTGATTGCCCCACTCCACTGCAGCCTGGGCAACAGAGTGAGACCCTGACTCAAAAAATAAATAAATAAGGCCAGGTAACACTCGAGAGCTATTCGACTGGAAAAAAGCAAAAAGTTGGTGGGATATGGGGCTGTTGGGACCCCCCAGATCCTGCTGATGGGCATGTGGACAAGGCTACCCACTCTGGAGGGCACCAGACCAAGGACCTCTACCCTGGGTGCACTGGCAAAGGAATGCCAGCAGATCCTTAAGGGGACACGCCTGAGGATGTGCATACAGCTTCCTTTGTGGGAGGGGAGTAGGGTGTGACGGGTCCCTCACTGGGAGGATGGAGACACAAGGTGGAGGAAGCTGCATGGAGCGCCACGCAGTTCAAGCAGCGGGTGTTCACACAGCAGCATGGACGGCTCCTAAAGCCATGGTGCTGAGTGAAAAGAACCCGACACAGAATGGGACCCAGAACATAATGCCTGTTCAGTAAACTAAAAATAGATCAGTAGCCAGGCATGGTGGCACATGTCTGTAGTCCCAGCCACTCAGGAGGCTGGGGTAGAAGGATCGCTTGAGCCCAGGAGTTGGAGTCCAGCCTGGGCAACATGGTGAGACCTCGTGTCTAAAAAATAAAAAAATAAAAATGGATAAATAAAACAACACACATTTTGCAAGGATATAACCCAATCAAAAATGACACATCAAACATAATAGAATGATACCTCAGGGATGGTACATAGGAATGATAACAAAATAAAATCAGAGAGATCTTGCACCTCCCCAAAGACAGCTGGTAGTGATAATGATGCAGGTGGTCCCAGGGCTGAACTCTCTCCACACCAGGACAAACAGTGCCTGGGGAAAGAGAGACCTGTTCCAGGAGGCCCCAGGGCTGTCTTTAATCTTCTCTTTCTTGTTAACGAAGTCATCTGGCACTGATTCTGTAGTTTTTGAATTTGCTACTGATACCTAAAAGGAAAATGGAATCAAAGACAGAAATACAATCCTATCCCTGTTACATTGGGACCATCTTATTCAGGAAGCCTCCTGTGGAGACCACCACGCTGCCCTCCGAAGTCACCTCCCATGGTGGCCCAGGGCAGAGTTTTCCCTCTCTTCACCTCCAGCCTGCTGCACACTCAGGAGAGGCCACTCCCGCCTGGCCTGCCCCTGTGCACAGCATGCTTCCCCTCACCAGTGTCTTCTCTGTTTTCTAGTGGGAGGTCTGAAGAGCCCTTGGAGGGGAGAATACAAAGAACCAAGACATCCACCGCCAAATCAAGCCAATTATCACCAGACCCTCCATGCACAGCCAAGGGAGCTTTCGCCAGGGGCCCCACGGCCCCAGCCAGCCGAGGAGACAACAGGCAGAGCCCCTGAGCTCCAGCCTCCTCTCCCACCAGAGCCCCCAGAGCCAAACAAGTCTCCTCCCTTCACTTTGAGCAAAGAGGAGTCTGGGATGTGGGAACCCTTACCTCTGTCCTCCCTGGACCTGGCCCCTGCCAGAAACCCCAGCTCACCGGAGCGGAAAGCAACCTTCCCGGAGCAGGAGCTGCAGCAGCTGGAAATAGGTATGGGCAGCCGTGGTTGCAGCCCTGAGCACTGGCCCTGGGCTGCCCCCAGAGGCCAGCGTGGCTCCTCTTTACCCGCGGTGTGGACTTCCTTCCAGCCCCTTCCCCAGCAGCTCAGCTTCTACAGACTGTGCAGGAAGAACCCCTGAAAACACAGCCAGCCTCCTCCCAGTCTTTGACAGCCATCTTCCACTTTTCCCTACAGAATTATTCCTGAACAGCCTGTCCCAGCCATTTTCTCTGGAGGAGCAGGAACAAATTCTCTCATGCCTCAGCATCGACAGCTTCTCCCTGTCAGATGACAGCGAGAAGGTGAGCGGGTTGCAGCCCGAGATCCATGGCTCCAGGGGTATGGTTCCCCTGGCCCTGGCACAGAGCAAGTAGCTTTGTGTCCAGCTAGTGAATGGACTCTGTGCAAGTAGTGGGTAAAGGGAGGGTGTTGGGGGTCACCGCTTCCTTCTGGTAGGGGTCCTCACTAGGGTGGGGCAGGTGGTCGTGGTTTCTCAAGTGAGAGAAACCATGGAAATTACCCTCCTAGGATTAGTGAATGTGTTTTGCTACCAGAGATAATGGGGAAGCAAGCCTTGGTCCCCCATGGTGGCAGCCGAGGGCATGAGCAGCTCCTCACCCCTGGAGAGCCCAGGGCCCCTTTTCCCCAAATGAGACCCAACTGGAGATGGATCCTGGAGCCCAAGGGCGTAAGTCCGTGCCCACTCTTGTTGTTTCAGAACCCATCAAAGGCCTCTCAGAGCTCGCGGGACACCCTGAGCTCAGGCGTACACTCCTGGAGCAGCCAGGCGGAGGCTCGAAGCTCCAGCTGGAACATGGTGCTGGCCCGGGGGCGGTCCACCGACACCCCAAGCTATTTCAATGGTACAGTCCAACTCTCACCTGCTCAGCAGCCCCCGTGGCAGCTGATCTGCCTGGGGCTAGACAGCCATTGAGGGATTGTGTCTCCCCTCCCCTGGCACAGTTGGGGAGAGGAAGTCCCCTGGTCCCAGAACTTGAGGTTCCTGGCCAGTAAGTTGGGTTTTGAGCAAAGGTCCTAATCACCCACGAGCCCTTCCTGATCGGGCAGTGAGGGACTGTTATCCCCACATTGGTTACTGATGGAGTCCCAGCAGGCCCCACTAGCTTGGGGAGGAGAGCAGTCTCTCTCGACCTGGAGTCAGGAAAATGAGCAATTAATCACTTCTAAAGGGAAAAGGAATGGGACCCATGAGCATTTTCATCAAAAACTCAGCAAAAGGAATCCCTCTGTGGGATTTGAGGTCAGATGAGAAAGACAACATAATTCCTTCATTTTCACGCTTAATTGCATACGTTATGTTGTGACTTTGCTAGACAAGGCCTTCATCAGCTCGGAGTTCTCTGGCCCTCTTCAGGGCAGTGTGACTCATGGCATCAGGCCCCCATGGCTGGCCAAAGGCCACTTCAACTCGGGAAGCAATCTAAGCTGCTCATAATCTAAGAATCTTTGTGTTCAGTTCCTTTCTGCTTTGCATCCAAATTGAAATACAACTTCCCCATAGGAGCCAATCCCAGCTCTTTGCAATGCTGAGGCCAAATATCCAGTGTTGACAGCCAGGAGGAACTAGCAGGTGTATAACTTTAGGGCTGTCCTGGCCTGAATTTTTTTTTTTTTCCTTATAAAATGCAGCTGTGTGGCTGGGCGTGGTGGCTCATGCCTGTAATTCTAGCACTTTGGGAGGCCGAGGCAGGTGGATCACCTGAGGTCAGGAGTTAGAGACCAGCCTGGCCAACATGGTGAAACCCCATCTCTACTAAAAATACAAAAATTAGCTGGGTGTGGTGGCACATGCCTATAATCCCAGCTACTCGGGAAGCTAAGGCAGGAGAATCACTTGAAGCTGGGAGTCGGAGGTTGCAGTGAGCCGAGATCGTGCCACTGTACTCCAGCTGGGACGACAGAATGAGACTCCGTCTCAAACAAAACAAAACAAAACAAAAAAATACAGCTGTGCTTAGACCAGCCTAAATTTCATCTCTGCTGCTTTGTCATAGCCAGACCTGCTCCCCCCTTACATAGGGCAGAAAGACTTAACAAAAGGTTCCCTAGCCCCTGCCAGGACCCTGGTCCTTGGGGAGCCAGCAGCTGCTCTCCTGACTGTCACCTTGCCTGCCTTCTAGGTGTGAAAATCCAAATACAGTCTCTCAATGGTGAACACCTGCACATCCGGGAGTTCCACCGAGTCAAGGTGGGAGACATCGCCACTGGCATCAGCAGCCAGGTAAGGGGCAGGTACACTCTGACGGGCAGAGACCCAGAAGCCAGTGCACCTGTCCCCACACTCCAGGAGAAAGGCTTTCAAAGTAGAATGGCACTCTAGGGAATGTTGGACTTGGCCTCAGACATCCCCCAGGGCAGGCGTCCCCAAACTACGGCCCACGGGCCACATGCAGCCCCCTGAGGCCATTTATCCGGCCCCCCGCTGCACTTCAGGAAGGGGCACCTCTTTCATTGGTGGTCAGTGAGAGAAGCACAGTATGTGGCGGCCCTCCAACGGTCTGAGGGACAGTGAACTGGCCCCCTGTGTAAAAAGTTTGGGGACGCCTGCCCCCGGGCCTCAAAGCAAGAGTGGCAGGTGGAGATGTCCTCTGGACCCACTTTGGGCCAAGTGGGATTCTCTGAGCCTCTGGAATGACAGACACACAGTGCTCTTAGGACCCCCAGTCTGGCTGGAGGGGGATGTCTTTACCTTTCTATGTGGCTTCTGAGCCCATGCCATGCTCTCAGCCCACTGGTTTGCTCCACCTTTAGATCCCAGCCGCAGCCTTCAGCTTGGTGACCAAAGACGGGCAGCCTGTTCGCTACGACATGGAGGTGCCAGACTCGGGCATCGACCTGCAGTGCACGCTGGCCCCCGACGGCAGCTTTGCCTGGAGCTGGAGGGTCAAGCATGGCCAGCTGGAGAACAGGCCCTAGCCCTGCCCTCCGCCGCCAGCTCCACGCTGCCGGAAGCAGCCTTCCTGCTCGGTGCACGATGCTGCCCTGAATCACAGGCTCAGCCACTCCCAGGGATCTGCCAACCCCTGGCTCAGCAGTGGGACCAAAAGCTGGCAGCAGCAAGGTGGGGGTGAGCAGAATGCCTCCCAGGATTTCCCACCTGAGTCCTGCCCCACCCTGCTGGGAAGACACTCTGTCTGCCACGTGAGGAGACAAAGGAGGCTGGCAGGAGTTCCCTTGGGGAACAAACAGGATCTTCTCTGCCCTGCCCTAGTCGAGTTGGCCTGACCCGCTTGGATCAGTGACCATTTGCTGGCAGGCAGGAGGGCAGCTTCCAGCCTGGGTCAGAAGGGGTGGGCGAGCCCCTCAGCCCCTCACCCTCCAGGCTGGCGTGAGGGTGTTGAGTGTGTAAGGGTTCACACTGAGGTTCAGTGCAGAACCAGGGCAGAAGGTATGCCCACCTGTACGTTAAGGGGCCCTCTTGACCCCCTTGCCTGGCCTCACCTGGCCAGCTCACCCCTTTTGGGTGTAGAGGAATGCGTGACCCTGGGAAGGCTCCCTGGTAGAATACATCGCAGTTCCAGGTTGTGGCAACACAGGTTCTGAGTTGACCTCTGGTTCAGCCAAGGGCCAAAGCAGCTGTGTTAGTGACACGGTTCTCAGTCCCGAACACGTGCCCCTGTGCTGCTGGCTACCAGACCGCCCCAGAGCAGCAGCAGAGCCCCTGCAGGCCTGGTACTGCCCTGACTCGCTGGCGCTGCGTTCCCTCATCTGTAAAGGTAAAAAAAGGTGATAGGATGCGCCTGATGGGAGCGGTCTGCAGATGGACATGATCAGTGCTGAAGAAAGCAGACCAGACACTCCGGTCAGTCTCCAGAGTGCCGGTCCCCCAGAGCACAGCTCAGCATCACACTGGCATTCACCCTGCCCTGCCCCTGGCCGGAGGGTACTGCCAATGGCACTTTGCACTCTGATGACCTCAAAGCACTTTCATGGCTGCCCTCTGGCAGGAGAGGCAGTGGCTCTGCCACAGCACCGCAGGCCAGGAGGTGGGGTGAAGGGATACAGTCTTGAGTTGTCCACATGCATGTGACCCCTCAAACCTCCTCCAGATTTGTCTAAGCATAGCACCCCTTCCCCATTGCCCCAGCTTAGCCTCTTCTCCAGGGCAGCTGCTCAGGACTCACGTAGCATTAAATCAGCTGTGAATCGTTAGGGGGTGTCTGCTTGCCTCAACCCCCTGGGGCAGGGACACTGAGACTCCTTGGGAGGCTCATCCCCACGTCTTGCCAAGGCAGCCACATCCAGCCAGACTGCTCCCGGGGAGAGAGCCCGGCCCCAGCACATGAAGAACTGCAGCCTTGGTACTGCAGAGTGTGGGTGTAGAGAACTCTTTGTGAGCAATAAAGTTTGGGGTGATAACAGATGTTTCCAGCCCATGGGAGTCCTCACTCTTGCCTGCTGGTGCTGAACCTCATGACCTTATCAACTGCCTCTTTGCCTTCTTGGTGAAATCTTTCCAAGTCTTCCCCTTGTGTTGGACAAGGACTGTGTGGGCCTCTGAGTGGGGCTGCTTTCCCAGCGCTCCTCCCAGTGCTTCCCGTCCCACCTCTGGGCTATCCATTCAGACCAGTTGGGCAAGATGCCTTGACCAGTGGCATCAGAGAAGCCCCTGGTCAGTCACTGCCAGGCCTAGCGGTGGAGGAGGAGGACACCAAAGCCTGCCCACTCGGTACCACTGCCCAGGTCAGGCACCTGTACCACCAGAAGGGAAACGGGGATGGGTTCCGGACCCTGACCAGCCATACATGCCGGATGCACACCACAGGCCTCCCAACCTCCCCTCCTGCCCCTGAGGCCTGGACTCTTACCCCTTTCCGCTGCCTCCTGTGCCCTGCATGGCACCAGGGATGAGTGTGGGACGGAGTTCCTTGCTCACGGAGCTGGAGCACACGGAGTGCCTTGTCCATTCTGGCTCCACACTCCCTATGTGCACAAGTGTGTGTGCGCGCAGCTTGGGTTGGTTGAGTCAGTTCGTAGAAGGGCCCTGGGACCCCAGAAGGGGCAGCAGCCTTGCGTCCAGGCGTGCAGAGCAGGTGCAAGTCCAGTCCAGCTGAGCCAGGCTTACCCGCCGCCCGCCTCTTGTTCCGGGCCCTGTTCTGCTGGCAATCCCGAAGCGCGAGCCCCGTCGAGGTCTTCGGAGAGGGGTTCTGGCTTCGGCCCTCAAGCCTTCGCCTTCGGAGGACGCCTCACTCGGGCGGTCCCCGCCCGCCCGCCTGGAACCTAAATGCAGTTCCTTGCCTGCCGGGGTCGCGGCAGGGACGTCACAGAACAGGCGACATCACAGGCACCGGCGCCCCTAGTATTTCCGGCACCCCCCACTGCCCCGGCCAAAGAGCACACTGGAGGCGGAGAGGTAGCATCCACCAGCCCGCTCCCCGCCTCCTGAACAGAGCCTCGGTCAGCATGGGGGTGACAGGTGGGAGCGGGCGGGTGCCCGGGGGCAGGGGCAGGGGCGGGGGTGGGGGCGGGGGCGGGAGGGGGAAAGCGAAAGTGAGGGGGGCGGGGCGCTGAGTGGGGCGGTCAGGAATCCACCGGGGCCATTCCCCTGCTCCCAAACCCCGGCCCCTGAAAGCCAGGCTGACCCCCGCCAAAGCCCACCCGGTGTCCCTGACTACGGCTCCCAGCCTCAACTCCTGCGCACGGACACGCATGTACGCCTTGGGTTAGGCGTTGCAGAGTTAGCGGTTCTTGAAGGGGTTGTGAGACCACAGAAGGAGCGGTGGTCTTGTGCACAGGAAACAACTCATGAATTATCCTGAACTGCAGATGCAAAAAATCACGTCTAGTTGTCCCTTCTTGCTTGAGGCGCTGCAGGCAGGAGCGGCAGTCTTCAACAGATTTTCACTGAGCGCTTCCTTGGTGCCTTGTACTCTTCTCTGAACCAATGAGCCCCCAGCGCCCTGGGTCTCCCCTTACCATAGGGGACTCAGATGGTGGCTTTCTTCTGGGGGTCCTCTCTCCCAGAAGGGCATGGGCCAGCATTCAAAATGGTCAAAAATTAGGCGGGCATGATGGCTCAACGCCTGTAATCCCAACATTTTGGGAGGCAGAGGTGGGAGGATCACATGATGCCAAGAGTTCAAGACCAGCCTAGGCAACATAGCAAGACATTGTCCTCTACAGGCAATGTTTAAAATTAGCCATGTGTGGTGGCATGAGCCTGTAGTCCCAGCTACTTGGCAGGCTGAACTGGAAGGCTCACTGAATCCCAGAAGTTAGTGTGCTAAGATGGTGCCACTGCACTCCAGCCTGAGCCACACAGCAAGATCCTGTTTAAAAAAAAAAAAAAAAATTAACCAGAGGTCAGGTGTGGTGGCTGACGCCTGTAACATAAAACATAGGTTGGAGCCAGGCGCGGTGGCTCAAGCCTGTAATCCCAGCACTTTGGGAGGCTGAGGCGGGTGGATCACGAGGTCAAGAGATCGAGACCATCCTGGTCAACGTGGTGAAACCCCGTCTCTACTAAAGATACAAAAAATTAGCTGGGCATGGTGGCACGTGCCTGTAATCCCAGCTACTCAGGAGGCTGAGGCAGGAGAATTGCCTGAACCCAGGAGGCGGAGGTTGCGGTGAGCCGAGATCGTGCCATTGCACTCCAGCCTGGGTAACAAGAGCGAAACTCCGTCTCAAAAAAAAAAAAAAAAAAAAAAAAAACATAGGTTGGACTTCCAGGTTTATCATGGAGAGGATTACGCTGATGATTTGAATTGGGCTTTCAGGCCTGAGTAGGACTTTGCCAGAAGAAGGCTTTCCAGGTATGAGAAATAGCATTTGCAAAGGCACTGGGTGCAGAAGGGCTGCCGTACTCTGGGGTAGCTTCGGCTTAGGGTGAGGGACAGAAAGCTGGATGCCAAGAGATGAAAAACGAAGGTAGAGATCAGACCAAGAGGCCACATGGAGTCGGGGTGGGGGGCGGTGACTAGAGGCAAGTGTGATGTAGCAGGCTCACTCTGAGGCCATTGAAAACTCCAGATTGAAGGGGACATGGTAGCAGTGGTCCTGCTGGAGGGCTAAAGAGATTTAAGACAGTGCAGTGAGCAGCATCCAGGAGCGCGGAGCCAGCCAGACCTGCCTTCAGGTCGTGTGCTGCTGTTAATAGCTGTGTGACCTCATACGCATTTCCTCATCTGTGAGAGGAGAGTCGGGGCCACCTGGGCATAGGGTAGGTATGAAGACTGAATGGCAAAGCACTCAGCACCGAGTGCCAAAGGGTAGGAAATCACAGGTTTGTGTTGGCTCTGGTACTGGGAGATGAGGAGGGCATCAGGGGTAGGAATGGCAGGCTCTGCGGAGTGAGGAGGAGTCAGGAATGACCCAGGTTTCTCACTTGGGTGAAAGGATGATGAATGAGGCAAGGAGAGTAGGAGATAGAGAGATGAAAGACTAGAAAGGAAGACAGGGGTCAGACAGGCAGAACCGTAGTGGCCACACTTAAGAGTCTGGACATACAAGGTGTGAACTTGAGGTAAGAAATTAGACCTGGCACAGTGGCTCACACCTGTAATCCCAACACTTTGGGAGGCCAAGGTGGGAAAATCACTTGAGCTCAAGAGTTTGAGACCAGACTGGGCAACACAGCAAACCCCTCCTTTTTTTTTTTTGAGACAGGGTCTCACTCTGTCGCCCAGGCTGGAGTGCAGTGGCACCATCTCAGCTCACTGCAACCTCTGCCTCCCAGGCTCAAGCCATCCTCCCTATCAAAACCTAGCAAACACATTACAAGAAAAGAAAATTATACACCAATATCCTTCATGAATATGCATGTGAAAATTCTGAAAAAAGGCAGTCAGATTCAACAACATATAAAATGTTGCTAAATCTCATCATGACCAAATGAGCCAGTAATGCAAGGCTGATTTAACTTTTAAAAAAATCAATTTATAGCTGGGCACAGTGGTTCACACTGTGGATAGATTGAGCCCAGGAGTTCGAGACCAGCCTGGGTAATATTAATAAGACCCATCTCTACAAAAAATACAAAAATTGGCCGGGCGCGGTGGCTCAAACCTGTAATCCCAGCACTTTGGGAGGCCGAGGTGGGTGGATCATGAGGTCAAGAGATAAGACCATCCTGGTCAACAAGGTGAAACCCTCCACTAAAAAAAATACAAAAAATTAGCTGGGCATGGTTGTGCATGTCTGTAATCCCAGCTACTCAGGAGGCTGAGACAGAAGAATTGCCTGAACCCAGGAGGCGGAGGTTGAGGTGAGCCGAGATCGTGCCATTGCACTCCAGCCTGGGTAACAAGAGCGAAACTCCGTCTCAAAAAAAAAAAAAAAAAAAAAATTAGCTGGGTGTGATGGTGTGCACCTGTAGTCCCAGCTACTCCGGAGGTAAGGTGGGAGGATCACTTGAGACAGGGAGGTGGAGGGTGCTGTAGTCAACCACTGAATTCAAGCCTGGGCAACAGAGTGAGACCGTGTCTCAAAAAAATATATATATATTTTACCAGAAACAATATAAAAATATAAAAGAATTATCACCCAAATAATATAGCATTACTCATATGTTAATGTATTATAACATATGTTATGTTAACACATATAAAAGAAAAACCATATGATTATCTCAATAAATGCAGAAAAGGCATTAGGAAAAATCCAGCATCCATTTGTAATTAAAACTAAGCAGGCCAGGTACGGTGGCTCACACCTGTAATCCCAGCACTTTGGGAGGCTGAGGTGGGTGGATCACGAGGTCAGGAGTTCGAGACCAGCCTGGCCAACATGGTGAAACTCCATCTCTACTAAAAATATAACAACAACAAAAAATTAGCTGGGCATGGTGGTGGGCACCTGTAATCCCAGCTACTCAGGAAGCTGAGGCAGGAGAATCATTTGAACCTGGGAGGCAGAGGTTGCAATGAGCCAAGATCACAACATTGCACTCCAGCCTGGGTGACAGGGCGAGACTTAATCTCAAAAAAAAAGAAAAAAACTAAGCAAACTAGGAGAGGAAACTTAATGAAGATGCCCAAGCTGATGAAGGGCATCTATGAAGAAACCTACAGCTAGCATGATACTTAATGGTGAAACGCTAAACACTTTCCCCTAACCTCAGAATGAATTGAGAATGTACACACACACTCCTACTCAACATGGTATGAAGATCGTCCTCAGTGCAATTAAGCAAGAAAAGGAAATAAGAGGAACCAGACTGGGAAGGAAGAAGTAAAAGTGCCTTGATTTACACACATTATTATCTATGTAGAAAATCTGATAAAATCTTAAAAAAAAAAAAAAAAGCTATGAGAACAAATAAGATTTTTTTTTTTTTTGAGACGGAGTTTCGCTCTTGTGACCCAGGCTGGAGGGCAACGGCGCGATCTCGGCTCACCGCAACCTCCGCCTCCTGGGTTCAGGCAATTCTCC